GAATAATCATGCGGTGGACATTTGATGCCTAAAAGGAAGCTGGTAAATCCAAAGAACCTACGCTGTACCCTTTCMACCTGGCAAGGCATATATAAAAAAAAATTAACAATAGTCTTCTTAAAATCACGAAAATCGGATAGTATATGCTACAGCCTTTAAACAATTTGGGATACCTCTTTACCCTTTTGAATATTCATTACAGATATTTTTTAATTTATTTTGTAACTCTGCATAAATCTTCGATTTTTTTGTTGTCCCCGCCCAATGCATATTGAGCTAGTTTTGTTTCGTCATTCGCTACCTTCATTCGGATTTTCGTTATCAATACCCATATAGAGGGAGGGTAATGGCCCACTAACTTTGAAAAYCTATGAAAATATATCTATTTTAAACCTTTAATAATATAATAAAATGTTATGTATATTTTTGTGTGCATATTTGTATATATATATATTATATATTATCTACGACAGTTATTTGGTATGGGTTCGATAAGACGCTCGGCCTATAATTGCTGTTACCTCTGYTATGTCCTATATAGCAGTGGTGCGCAACCTGGGGGTCGCGAAATTTTATTAGGGGGTCGCCAGTAATCACCAAATGAAAAAGTTTTATACTATATTGCTATGTATATTGTATATTATTTTATAGTTTTATACAAAGTAAAATTATTTTGTACCGTTGATGGCTGTGTCAATCGTAATATTATGACATTATGTCATATCTTAATGTTRCGATAACTATAGTTCTATTGAACCACGCAGTATATGGGTTATTATAATATATTTTTTTTCATGTTTTTGATTAATTAAAGAAATATTAAAACTGCTCTAAAATTAACGATTTAATGTATATGAATAAAATGTGTTATACATTAAGACTATTAAGTAAATTTAAATTACACACTTACATAATGTTGRTAGGTAGGGGGGTCGTATTAAAAAATAAATTATTTTGGGGGGTCGTGGATCAAAAAAGGTTGCGCACCACTGCTATATAGTACCTATAACACAATTGCGTACGCTGCTTATCGGCGGTATCTTTTTCATAACACATCAATAGCGTGTCAAGATTAGATTTTTATTTTAAATTTGATTATCTTAATGTTTAGTTATATAAGTATAATCGTATCAAATATCAATGCACAAAAGTCATAAATTACAAACTTATTTTGATACATGCTATTTGAAAATGTATTACAGTTACTGGGAGGTAACTATAGTACTATACCTTTTTCGTTTACAATAACATTTAGGGTACATCGGGAGGCAATTCGTAAAAAAATGATTGTCCTTTTTTCTTCGGGAGGTAACTATAGTGTGCGCCCGTAGCTATTGGAACGATAACTAACTCGCAACGGTGACATGCTAAAAACCATCATACTGCAACTGCATGCTATCAATATTGTCCGTGTTCTAAAAATATAAGGTGGTAAATGACCGATATCGATAAAATGGTTGATTGAAAAATGCCATGGCTATCGCATAATATGTTCGCGTAATATGAATGTGTTTAATTAAAAGTGTACCTAGTCATATCTATAAAAAAAAGCTTAAATTACTCAACTTAAAGTCAGATTTTCTAATTTTTTTTTTGGTTTATCTACATAGACTCTTTTGGAAACTACTGTGAATGTTTTACTTTTTACTCCCCAAAGTACCTACTAGATTCATTGACCATTGACCTAACCAGAAAAAATGCCGAAGTAGAAATTCGTAGTATTTAAAAGTAAACAATTCTCAATATTTTSAAAATAATCGGGATAACCATACTAAAAATTAAGGGAAAAACGGGAAAATTTAYGCACAATCAATTTTGGTTTTTGATGTAACTTTAAAACAATTGATCATTGATACATGAAATTTTCACCGGATGTTTATATAAGTATATTCTATCCACCATGCAATTTTCAAAAAATTTCAACTCAAGTTTAACTAATTATAGGCATATATGCAATTTTCGATCATTATCAGTTTTTTAAAATTAATATCGATAAAAATGTATTCGTTGGGTAGAAAAGCTAGAAAATGTAATACAAGGCTCCTCCATAATTGTTACAATAGCAGTAGAAAAATAAAATAAATTCAGTCACAATTTTTTTTGTATAAGCATTCAAAATTAAAAATCACGAAAATACGCAATTTATTTTAAGTTAGRAATTCATAAAAAATTTTCTTTTTAAATCTAGAATTTGAAAAGTTTTAATAATCTATAAATATATCCTAGACAGATAAACAGTCTCCGCTCAGAATCGTTTTTCGTATATAATCATATATAATATAATTGGATTCAAATTTAATTCCATCCATTACAGTAACCCACTTGTAACCTACTACTGTACATCGCAGAGCGACATCCACGACTAACCCGCTTCTTTTTGCTTAACTCAGAGTCTAAAAATTAAATAGTTGGATTTTAATCAATGTATTCTATGTTTTATTGTCGTAAAAATATGTGATTAAAATTGTTCATCTACTATAATGGCAATAGCTTTTAACCGTACGTCGTACCCGCACTTTGTTGTTCCGTCTAACGCACGGCACCAAATTTAACGCCCAAACTCAATCTTTATCTACCTGCATTATACTATTAACTAATTAATTGCTCGTATCTCGAAAACCACTACTGTATAATACTATAATCCGATGCGAAGTTCATACAAATCATACAATCATACTCGTAATACTTCATCTGCATTAAAGCTGGTGAACCCGTGAACCCCAAAGTAGGGAAGCGATCTATCTGCGGATCTATTTTATGTTTATACAGCTGACATACTTGCAGTTACAACAAATACCACCATAGTAATCTACACACAGACGACACCACAATACTACTTTGTGCTAATATTTAATAATGACTATGACATCCAAACTGCTACAAATTCACTTAGATTCAATTGACAACCGGGCAACTGATTACTGAGTGTCAAATTAAAATAAATCCAAAGACAAATCTTCTGTATATTAATTATATTATGTAAATGTACCATTTATAAATGTATGCGTTAAAAGAACCGACACTCCGGCCCACCTGTTTACTTACAGGGTACTCAAATTCCATCATCTCTTGATGTGTATTTTGGAATATGTATAATATATCTCTGCATTGCTCTCAATAATAAAAGAGCCCCTTGGAGCTTTAAATCAAMGGGGAAAGGACAAAAAGTTAATAACGACCGGTTACTGCGTATTACTAAGTCGTATAATCTCCTCTAGATACCTATTATAACTTTATTTTTACCTATTAATTTTTATTCGAATTGCGTGTAGAGGGGGGAGGGGCAAGAGAATTTTTTAAATYTCCTGAGGAGGCTTTGAATAAAAAAAATGATAAACGCCGATCGACAGACGATGGTGCAACAGCAGTTATAAAAATACGTACGTTAATAATAATATAATATATAATTTATATAAGCGCGCAAAAGGTTAGTAGAGGTGTGGGGTGGTGCTATTGTACCGGTTTTATATTTTTTTTTTTTAACTACCTCTCTCTGCCGCCCTTTCCACACCCCTTTTTGGCTTCTCGTGCGAGCGAGGTCCGAAACACTATATATACGCGCGCGTTATATATAATATAGCCGCGAATATCCCCGCCACCGATCACGACTCTGGAACGCACTGCAAACAAAAGGTCTGCCAAAAGGGATCTCGGCGCACACAMTCTCTCCCCTATAACAATAATAATATATATTGTGTAATATGCGCGCGCGCGAACCCGCGCGCGTTTGAGCGGTGTACGATTTTTTCGGCGGGTCCTCACACATAAAGAGTGATTCACCAGGCGAGCTCACCCCCTTGCTTCTTTTATTAATAACACATTCATATTTCGATTTTTGAAATTTTTAAATTTACTTAAAGAAGGACATATTTTTAAATACATCTACATAGATTTTTTTACATTATCAACTTAGATTTTTCAAATGAGAACTTCCCTTTTTGTATCATACATTTTTATATAATAGATTTTTTTTTAAATTGACTTTTATCCTTAGAACATATTTTACTGTTAAATAATACGGGAACTACTCGTTCAGATTTCAATTTAAAATGTATAAATGCATTAACATTTTCCAAAAATTTATCTGCTAAATAATTAACAGTAATTTTTTAGACTTATTTGAAAAACAAAAATATGTCRCCACGCAGGAAACTTTTACTTTAATAATAGTATAATAATATTTACGTTATTAAAAATATGGTAGTTAGGTATATATATACATGGTATTTTAGTATACCTACTCAAAAATTTCAAAAATCAGAATTTAAATACATAAATTATTTAGGTAAAAAAAGGAGGGGAGCTATAGACATCGGACATGCCTGAWGAATCAACCTGTATAATATATGATATGCGTGTGATCGCATATTTCAGTGTGTGTGTGCGCGCGAGCGAAGAACAAGAAGCGATGGATAAATAATAATGAAAAAAATAATCTACATTATTTTCCCGCCAGTCGATCGCCGCCGCCGCCGTTGCCCGTTGGTCCGAAACTCCCACCGAAATACGAGTACGCGACCGTCGACGCGCGCGCTCCAGCGGGTGTGTGGGTTCATTCATCAGGCACCCGGCACCGATCGGGCGAGTCGTCCGACAGCGGCGGTCGCGGCGGCGGCATCGTGAGCGGAAGGAAAAGCGAGCGAGAAAAGAAGAGGAGAAAAAACCTTAAAAACCAATCGCGCGTGAGTGTGCGCGCGCCCGCGGTGTGTGCCGTGCAGTCGTAGTCCGATCGTTTTCGTTGTCCGCTGTCTTTCCCTCCCTCGACTCATCGTTCATTTGTTCTCAGCCGCCGTCATCGGTGGCGAGTTAGTGGTGGCGTTTACACCCCCGGAGCAAGACGGCCTCAAGACATCGCACGCTTATCACCGGTAATATTATAATGATATATAAATAGATTTATAATGAYATACATATATAATAATATTATGGAGTAATTATTAAGTTTGACGTCGTAAAATAGTATAGGTAATAAGATCGCGAATCAATACATCATCGTTACGAATTCGAACGAAAATTACGATACTATAATAATAAATTTATTAATATAGCAGTTATTAGTATATTATACACTTCGTTGTTTTAAAATTATTTCGTAATTATATTGTTTACAGTATATTAGTGTGAATTCGTTTTATTATCGTATGTGTAATGTGTATTTAATCTCCCCAGTAAATATTATATAGGTGGTAGAGCTGCTTTTGAGCGGGCGCTGTACATGCAACGACAACAACAACAATAGTAATAATAATAATAGGTAATACAAATAATGGCCCGGTGGAATGTTTTGGATTACAAAAAAAAAACCCGCAGGGGTTGGTTCGTAAATTGCGTACACGGATACCTTTACCAAAAGGGAAGTCACGAGTGCTCCACGGTCTGTGGTGCGTGTGTGAGGATACCTATTATATATACTTACGTACTACCTGAGGATCGAAGTGGAGCGATGTGTATTATATTATTTCGTACCTGATCGCCACACTCGTTTCATATTATTATTATTATAAACTGTAATTTAGTTTTTTCACGTATCACGTGTAGACTTGGTTTATGGCGAAACGTTTACTATGATAATGTTATATTAACACACACGATACGATCATCTGTAGTGAATGCCAAAATATTTTATTCAAATACATTTTACACGTTTCATAAACACAAAAACAAGTTAAGTTATAATAACGTGTTTTGCAGTAGAGATTTMATTTAATTTTCACACACTAAAAAAGGTAAAATACTATAATATAAAAACTATAATATTTGAAAATAAACCTTAATTATATTTCTTGATATTTGTTCAATACCAACAAATCGACACAATTTCCATAAATACGTATAGATGGAATCACCTTAAAGATGGATATTAGACTTTAAAATATGAATAAAAGACTTAAGAATTTTAATTTCAAAATTAGGAGTACGAATATAATATACTTTAAGCCATATTAATAATTTTGTACTAAGAAATCTGACTTAGCAATCAAGCAAAAATAAAATAATGATTTTTCATAATTTTACAACCCTTGAGCCCTTTTCTAATAATAATTATATAAATATTTAGAATTTTAGAATATCTGAAACTGGTGAATATATTTTTTGTTTTAATGTATTAATAAAATATTAATACATTTTGACGTATATATCACTTAATTTGTATGTTAATATAATCGATTTAATATAATAAAAAAAATATATATATATTCACATCTCATTGTCACAGTTGTAAAATTACATTAAAGTTTTTGTTTAAAAAATCATATTGCAATAATTCCGCAGAATAAAGTTGTTTAAACAATAACAACCAGTCACTGTATAATATTTGTACACCGAAATCCATTGATACATATCGATATTATTCGTTTAAAAATTTCGGATGGCCTTGAGAAATTTCAGTGAATATAATTGGTTTAATGGTGTTTTACTGTTTTGTATACATTAGGTTATAAGGTCATTGTAAATATACACATATAATATATATTTACGATTGAGCCCAATGAACATAAGAAAATTTGGCAATTTTCGTACAAAACGATGACTATATAGGTTAATATGACATACACGTGTTACATCAAAAATATTTTTTATAAACAATGGCAAATAGTTGTTTGATGCCTACTGAATAAAATTATTGTGCACTCCATGAGTTACGTTTTATGTCTAGATAAWATCCATGAATGTAGCGTATTATTTTTTTTTTTTTTTTTTAGTAGTAGCGTAATTCAAAACTAAAAAGCATATCAATTATATCGTCATCGCAACTACAATCAATTTCAATATGGAATATACAATATTAAAATAATTTAGTAATTCATTTTCTTTATCTGAAGATAAATAATAGTTATTTACCTAACATACTATAGTATTATAGTAGTTAATGTTGTTTTTATAAAATTAATTTAACAGTAGATTATAGAGATTTATAAAACAATATAACATGTTGATTATTAAATCAAATACTAATTTTATTTTTAATTAAGAAAAAGAAAATATTAATTTTATGTACCTATATTAATATATTATATTTTATAGTTAGACGAATCACCCAACACAAGATTAGAACAATGAAAATAAGCGTTCAGTTAAAAATTTTCGCTAGATTTAACTAAAACAAAAAAGAAAGAAAAAACAAGTTTTATTCATTGACCAACACACGAAGCCGTATAATATTGTTACCAGACACCGTGGTACAAGACCGTAAGCCACCAAGTATCGGGTTTCGACAGTCGTCTTGCATTACCATGTGTTCCCACCCAACAACCCTGAAGAAATTGTACTCGCACGATGAGTTTTAAAGACAGATATTTTAAAACAATAATAATAGTATAATACCCAAGAACATAATATGATTTTTATGAATCAAGACGGAAACAAATGAGTACTGTTATATTATTTTATGCAATGTCGCTGCTACATGCCTTTTTCCCACTACACGCAATAAGGTAGGCGTGGGTCATTAAAGAACAAAACCATTTTGCATATAAAGTCAAAGGATTTCGGGCAGACAAGYGCAGTATTTGCATGACTTTTCTTATGGACGTATTCAAGTGTGTCCCATTACTAGATGATACAAGGTTTATGCTATGGCAGCTGTGTAACTATTAGGATCGTTAAACGTCGGTGAATACTGGTTTCGTATTGGTGCATAGAAGTATTAATTTTTGAACTTGTCTAGCACCATTTGAAACCAGTACTTATTGACGGGATGTCTACCAGAAAAATATATTTACTCAGTAAAGGTACTTATGAAGGTATGATTGTATTATTATTTTTTTTTTGTGTTCTTATAAACTAAGTTTTGTTTATTTTATAGTGCAGTTAGAAATTAAGTTGTACATTTTCGTTTATAGCAATATAACGTGAGCTTTATTTAATATTTTATGYAACATTTAATCAGAACAAAATATCTATGATACAATTCTAAACATACCTATTGTTCATATATTTGCACACATTTCTTCATTATCATCAATATTTTTCTGGAAAAAAACATTTCACAAATATTATATTAAACTGTGAAAATATATAATCTGAATTATGTTTGAACAAAATTAATTATAGCTATCACTTATATTTTAATTATCTACCTATTAATGTTATTAAGTTATTACAAACACATTTTAAAATTTCTCCTGGATATATAAAATATTTGTTAAGTATGCCTTTTTCGTTATACATATATAATTGTTTATTCATTATTGTATTATATATATTTAAGCAATAAATTAAGAAATACAATATTATTATTCAACCAATAGATTATGAAGATTCTTTCACTTTCAGGAAACCTTTTAAGTTATATGGTATATTTTAAAAAATTTTACAATACTTTACAATATTTTACAAAGGAAATACTCATTTTATTTTTTTATTTTMATATTCTCTTGAACAAACGTAATTGTAGTAAATTACATAAATAAATTAAAAAAGTTCTTGTAAAATGTTTTAAATTTTATATTAAATTTAATTATTTCATAYTGAATTATATGTTGTTTATTTATTAATCTTGCAAATAAATAAGCACAATTAGTTGGTTAAAAAGGAATTAGCACTAAACAAAATGTTCAAAGGAAAATTGTTGTTTCGATATTTCAAACAAAATTATATTCAATAATCCTAAATTTAAAACTTAATCTTTTATAAATTCATAGATATTTTTATTTCAAATGCATTTGTAACTTGTTTTCTAAAAAGGTAACTGGCATATTTGCTTTTGAAATAATAAAGAAACCTTATAGGTATTTTAAGTTTGTGTGAACAGTTTAGTTTTTCTGGAAAAATTTAAATTCATATAAATATTCTGTTTATAAAAAGAGATTTTATAAGTTTAAGGAAAAATTAGTTATTATGTTTGAAATTATAACAACCAAACCTATCTATGATTTTAATTAAGCCTTTCCCAGATCAATTTTTTAATCATGATTAATAGTTAATTTGTGACTTAATATCACAAATCCTGTATTGAGGTTAAAAAAATGTGAAGACTGATCAATAATGMACCTTGTGTTTAATTTTAAAGGTAACAGGAAATATTTCAAACATATCACTTCTAGTTTAATTTGGGGTCTTTTTACATGACAGATAAATACATCTGTTTCTGTATATGATCAGTTAAATAAAAATATCTTAAATAGATACCAGTATACCACTATTTTTGAAACTGGATTTGTATTGTTTTATTTTCTAAGCAACTTTGATACTTAAAGTTTTTTGATATCTTCAAAATTAAAATTTTTAGAATAGTTGAAAGTTTTAAAATTAGGTTAACCACTATCAACTTTTGATTTTCAAATGGGAACTCATACTAAACAATTTATTAACTATAAAAAAAGCTATTTTTTTTTAGGAATTATCACGTTCAAATTTTAATTTTTCGTTGATCCCTTTATGGAGCTAAAGCTCCTCTAAGTTGGGAGGTTTTGGTAAGTGTTTATGAGTAAATGTGCTATACCTAATCAGTAGATACCGCGGCATATAGAATTTGAATGCTTCGCAGTAAAACACTTTTAAAAATCAATTCACCAAATACACTATACAATAAACTAAAGTTAACAGCCAAATGTATTTTATAATATCCATTTGGTAGGGTGTTGTGTAATTCACTTCACTGAAGGTGATTGCGGCACTGGTCATAATTATAGTTATMAATATATTATAAAGACCATAAGCTAAAAGCAATAAATTCAATATCGTTCAATCCCAAGGCATAATAGGCATAAAGCACAATGATTATCAATCGTGGATTCAACAATATCAAATTTATTACTATTATAGCTACTGGTCTATACAGATAATAATCCCATTTCTGAAGCAACGGGGCTGATTTTGTAGTACTTATTTATGTATAAACCCCTAAATGCCACTCAACTTTGAACAGTTATAACTCACCACTGGATTAACAAAAGTTAAACATTTTAACTGGAAAAATCTTTAAAAAAATAGATTTATTAATTAATACAATTATTAATATAGGATCTCATTTGAAAGTTGATAGTTTTTTTACTATACAATAAAAAGTATACTAACAAGTAAAAAAAATAAAAAAGTTATACCATTGTAAAAAAGCATGTATCTAAAAGTTTAAAAAAAACTTGAAAAAAAATCAATGCTTTTTAAAATAATGAGTGATCAACGATAAAAGAATCACTCTGTATAWTATAAATTATGATAGTACTCATATAACACAAATATGAACATTTAAAACAAAGATAGGAAATAGAAATAATATCAAAACAACATTTTAATGTTGGGATGTGAAAATATGAAACTGAATGTTTAGTGTTTACTTATTAAAACAAGTTCCTAAATAATATTAGCTGTTTTTTAAGGACAAGACTTCATAATACTTCATACATAAAACCGATTTAGTTTTATAACTTAGTTTAGTGCAACAGTTTAATTTCAAGAAGGTTAACATTCAGTGATTGCATAAAATCATAATTTTATATGATTTTTAAAATTTACTATATCATCTGAGTTTGTTGAATTTTTACACTGATTTATTGATTTTCCAAATATAGATATGTTGATAAGCGCAGAACAAATTCAAAAATGTTTGCTTTAATTTAAATTATTCATATTGCTTAGAAAAACTGTATGTCAAAATAATTGAAACTGCATTTTAAAGACAAGGATTAAAAAATCTAAATGAAAATATCATATCACAACTCACAAGATAAAATAATGATTTGCCTGAACTAATATAATAAATTTACTATAGTATTATAAAATAAATGATAAAGATTATGTAGTAAACATGTAGATTGGACATCGTTTTGATAGATCTTCAGTTTATATTAAAAACAAGATGTTGAATGTTTGAAAAACCAAATAATTTATTAGTCAACAAAAAAAGAAATTTTTTTTTCAAATAATTGATAGTTTGATAAAATGTAGTAAAAGAACCATGAACATTTTATCATATTATTTATAATGTTTAATGTTTTAATAAACACATAAGTAAATAATTAAATTTGTATAAGACATGTAAAACAAAACCAGTAGCAAAATGTATAGTTATTAAAGGACAAATATCCTAATAAGTAATGTTAATTTTATAAATAAAGCAATCCACTTTGCTACTCAATTAGACATTTAAGACTTTAATCCAACAGTAGATTGATTGACGTAACAGAAACATCAAAAAAATACTGGAATAAGAAGACATTGTCATAGACATACGCACAGGGTATGTGTTTGCATATCCTGTGGGAAAACGCTTGGGGGGCACATGAACAATGGCTCAGTTCATAATATTTTGACTGGTTAGTGGTTATAAAATGATAATGTGATATCAATATAGAGTATGGACTTGTTTTTAAATTCAATGTAGATGGTTTTCAATATTCAATAAGGAAATATAGGTTTTATTTTTAGAGTAGGTATTTACTATTTATACTTTCCAAAAATGACGATGGTTACATTTTTAACTACACAATGTCTAAATACTGAAAAGTCTTATGTTTATTATAATAGTTGAATAGTTGATACTATAATAAATTTAATCTATTCTGTACTAATATAATCGCCAGCATGATTGACTAATTAACACTGATAAAAATATCTTTACCAACTGTTTGTAATCAAGTTGCAGTGATGACTCCAAAGCGCCTGGATACATTAACGTTGATATTCATAGAATGACAAATTTCTATTGAAATTGACACAGAGGATGCGATTGAAGAATTTAAAGCCTTTATTTCAGGAAAGAGAAGGCTTGAGTTATAACTTATGTATATTGTAAATTTTCATTTCAATAAACATGTTCGTAAAATAGGCATTTAATTAAATTTAAAAAAAAAAATGCTTTTATTCAAAAAAAAGATGAAAAACCTATTTTTTTAAATTAGTAACTAGAAGTTTTAGATGAAATGTCATGCACATTAATTTTAGGGTCATTTATATTTTTTATCTGTGGGAGAGGAGCATATTTTATCAGCCTCATACGCTGCAAAGGCTTCACACGCCTATGGACATTGTATAGTAATAGATGAACATGGGTTGAAATATTTTCTTCCTCATTATAATAAAAATAACATTTGACATTAAAAAAACTGGTTTATATTTTAGAATATGGCTAAATTGAATGTTTTAACATCGCTAGCTTAGCAGAGATATTTGTCAAATGTATTGAAATTATCAGTATATAAACAAGTGTTTTCAAATGAATGTGCCATAGCACACTGGTGAACTCAAGCATTCTCTAGAAATGCTGTATACTTTTGAAATTTTTATCCAATAATTTAACTTTATAAAAATATAGTATAGTTAAATATTAGTAATAAATTTGAATATGCCTACACTTAGTAAAGTGCAATCTTGTTAATCAAAATTTGGTGTAGAAAATTATGCAATAGCATAAAAAAAAATTGTCTTTGATAAAGAAAACTAACATAATTGTGAAAATATTGTGAAGAGCAGATATAGAGCACAGTATGCTGTTGAATAATAGATTGAACAATACTGATATACATTATTAGTTTGGATTACTAAGTGTTTTATTTTATCTTGTCTATGATATTTGATTATGTAAAAAAATKTATAAAATCGTTAATAAAATAATAAAAATATTAACTTGTGTAAGTTTAAAACTAAATAAAATACAAAAGTATTGATACAATATTTTTATTAGTATCCAAATTTCTATTAATTTTGTTATAAAAAAAATACGATATTAAAATATTTTTTTTCAATCAAGATATCATTAGTATAAGAATTTAAATAAATAGTTCAATATAACAAAATGCAACTATAGTCTATAACCTACTTTATATAGAAATTATAATTACCTAAGTTAGGTATTAAATTAWATTAATACCATTTAAGCACTGATAGTGCCTTCTTCTGCATTTGGTGCACCTCCTTGTCTCAATTGATGTCTTCTTTGTAATAATCGCTTTTCTCTTTCATAGTCCTTCATGCGATCCAAATAACTAAAAATTTTAATTAAAAATGCTTAAATTACACAATTCAAATTATCATTGGAACATAAAACCAAAATATATCTAGCAAATTTTAAGTATGTATAAACCAGAAGTATTCAAATTGTGCATCATGGTTCCCAAGGACATTGCGAGAGTACAAAGTGAGATACATTTAAACACTGAAAACCAAAAATTAATGTAGGTATTGTGTGATTATTATTAATATTATTTGTAATCATTATAGAAACAATAATGAAACACATCATGTACTCATTTGAAATGTTATAAATATAAGTTATAACACTTATAATACATAAGTCAGTGTTATTATCATCCATATTGTATCTGTGTATTGATTCAATTTTTTCATAATAATTTGGGAGTTGTTAAAATATTGTGAATAACCAAAGAAACCGTGTGATGAAAAAGCTTGAATACTTCTGATTTCAATGATAAAAATATCTTACAAATGCTATCAAAATCATATTATATTTATAAAACAAATTTTTCATGAGTTTAGGTAAATAAAAATTTTTTATAAAATGTCATAACAATTGGGAAAGTCAAATATGTATAACATTTTATTTATTTATTTGATAGGTCTAGACTTTTAATTTATATTCATAAAAGCCCATAGCTTGATGTTGGAGTACAATACAAAGTAGAGAAATACACACTTTTATCTTAGACTGTGTTGAGAACCGACAACRCACATTATAAAGTATAACTTACTCGTGATACTGGCATTCATAATATTCTTCTCTCTCGTGGTGACAATGGTGATTGAATGGGAAATGCTCTCTGATACAACCTCTTAAATTCAATAACATGTGTGCACAAAAATCTCTGGCATCCAAAGGAACTTTAGCTGATTCCATTTCTGCTAGTGAAGCGATCATTTCTAAGAAAGAATTCAATTCAATATTTAATACACTGTATGACGAAACTTATTGTCATTAACATATAGTGGTACATTACTTTTCTCTCGTCTTTCCGTGGAAAACCCAAAATGAGGTTCAAACTGCGATGGTTTGTCTCGCAACGGGGTCGTCTCTGGAGCGACATATTCTGACCATGTGTGTCCCATCACTACAATATCGTAAAACGATTATCTACAAGGATAATTCTAGCTGGGAAATTGCATGTAAAGTTACAAAATAAGTTATCCGTATTTTATAGATTGCAACTACTGTAACTAGTTACTAATGTAACTTTGAAGTAAAACGAATGTTAAAAAATGAGATGATAAGAAATTTTCTTTGATAAAAATCATGAAACAAAAAGCATATCACAGCTGTTCTAGTGTTCAATAACTATATTATAATTCACACTACTCCTAGTTATGGTGACCAGACGTACTTATTTTATAAGGACAGTACTATTTTTTGGTAACATGTCCTACTGTCCTAAATAAATGGTCAAAGTATACTTAAATGTACTTATTTTTAATAATTTAATAATTGTAAATGGAAAAAAAATTACCTAAATTCAAATTTCAAGGATTTAAAAAAATGCTATCATCAAAAAAAAAAGTTTTAATAGGTACCGTGATATAGTGTTAATATTGTAATCACGGCTTTAGATACWATCTAATAATAATATAAATATAATAATAATAATCTAAGTTCTAAAGTTGTCTTTTATTAAGTATTTTTTATTATAAGTCTTGTTTTTCATGAAAATCACATAATGAGTAGAGTTACAGTTACCTATATATAAAAACACATATTTTAATTTCACCGTTAGTAAGATTAAAAATCTGTGATGCATATTTATGTTTAAAAATAAATAAATGAGTTTAAATTAATGTTTTATTGTTATGTAATTATATTGATATATATATAGGTACACATAATGTATTAGCCTATATCTATATTATAATGTACTGTTTTTTCTCTTTTAATATCTGGTCACCATACTCATAGTAGAATTATTATTACTCTGTGAACTAATGGGGAATGGCCAGTGGCGGACTGGGAGAAAAACACAGCCCGGGAAAATCATAATTGTAGAGGCCCCCTCAATATACTAACGGCCTTTTAAATATATAATATATTTTTTATACGTCATGTGGTTGCCTATATACCTAATAACTATTTTAGTTTCTGAGCGGAGCGATGAATGTATAGTTTTTACAATGATGTGTTTTTTAATTTTTTTTTGTGTCTGTCATCACCTTTTAGGACATTAAAAATGCTTAGATTTTTTTCAACATTATCTTTTCTAATAGGAAAGTAGTGAATCTAGTTGGTAGTTTTCCCAGTAGTTTTCAAAAGTAAAGTGAAAAACAAAAGAAAAATTATTTTTATTTTTTGATGTAACTCTAAAACAAATGACCGTATCTACATGCAATTTTGACTGAATGTTAATTTAGCTTTTTTTATACACCATAACATTTCAAAATATTTTGACTTGTTTTGAACTGTTTACGGCAATTTAAAATTTCATGTTTTTTAATTTTTGTTTTCTATAAAATATCAATAAAATTGTATTTGTTGTCCCAAAGTGCGTGAAAAGGTAATGAAAGGCTCCTCATATATTGTTACTAAAGCGGTTGAAAAATATTAAAAATACATAGACACGATTTTTTTTTATAATCATTTAAAGTTTGAACTTTGACAAAATCTATCAAAATCTTGAAAATTATCAATCATTGTAATTAAAAAATTATGAAATGTTCAGTTTTATAACTAAGGATTGAAGATTTACAATATAGATTCTCATAAATTGTTCATATTATGGCCAATAAATCTAAAAAAATATATAAACACAGTTATTTCTTACAGACATTTTAAATTCAAATTGTGCATTTTTATTTCTTTATTTTAAATAATATTAMATTTTTTAATTACATCTAGATTAGTATTCTTGGTCTACGATAAGAGGTATTACCTCAGTTATAGAGCAAAGCTAGTAAATTCATATTATGTTAACCATACACTTTGTTCATATTTATCAACTACAAGCAATAAATAAATTTATTATTATTAAAATAAAATTTGAACAAAGTTACATATTAAATTCAATAATATCGATTTTGGTTATTTTGTTGTAATTTAAAAATAAATATTATTTGTGGATATAAGAAACTTTTAAGAATATATTGACATATTGTTGTATTTTATACACACAATGACATTTTAAAATGTATTTTTTGAGGGGAAAATGAATTTAACCTACTGTAGAAGATACTAATGCCTAATACTAAAATTAATTATTTAATCACAATAATATTATAAACTATGCCTATTGCCAATATTGCTATAGTAATATTATAGACATACCGTCTCAAAATCTCGTTTTTCGTACACAATAATAATATATCATTGAATTCAAATTTAATACCATTCATTACAGTGACCTACTATTGTAACCTACTGTAAGCCTACTGTAAGCCTGGTCCAGAGCCGTAACAAGCTCATTTGACGCCTGAGGCAAGTTTGAGTATATGCGCCCCCTTCCGTCAACAAAAAAAAAAAATCATCATTTGTAAAATGTTAAACTATTATATATATTTGATTATTAAAAGAGCATGTAATATATAGACATATAATATTGACATACAAAAAAGTAAATCTCATAATTTGACTTTTCTTGATTTGATTGCCGCAAATTCATCGATGACATCTTCAAAATTAATTTCCCCAGCCACTTCATTTTATATCGACAAAATAGATAAATTCGAAAGTCTCTCCTGGCCCATAGTTGATCTCAAATAATTTTTTATGAGCTTGAGTTTGCTAAAGTTACGTTCACATGTAGCTGCAGTTACAGGCATCGTCAAAAAGATTCTAAATACAATTTCTACGTTTGGATACGATTCTTTTAAATTGTAGTCTTGAATCAGCTGAAGTAATTCAATAGTTGCAGATTTAATATGGTCAGGAATAATTGACTTCACTACGTTCTGAAAATCGGAAATCTCATCAATAAATTCTGCACCATTGATGTCTTTTTCGTATTTCATTGCTAAATCCATCGCGGCTTTTTTTAATTCTATAGTACTCATGTTGTACAATGATGCACCAGACAAAAATCCAAAATCATCAGCAACTTCCATTAACTTTTCATATCTCCAATTGAGTTGATTTATGAAAACATCAACTGCATTGTTAATATTGATGCGAAGATGTTGAACTTCCGAAATATATGTATTCCATCGTCTTGTCCTTCGTACAATTCTAATCTTTTCTTTTTTTTTAATCTCATGGATGTGTTTGTTATTCCCAAAGTAGTAACTAATGTAGAAGTGCGAGTAAAATTTTCTTCAAATTCTGTATTACGAAATTCCTGTAGTGAATTTTTTAATGCCTGAATCAGACTTKCAGCTTTATCCAAAGTCAAAGTTTTCATTTGACCTAATATTTGATTCCAGACATTAAGGTAGAAAAGAAATGTTAAATTAATGTTTTTGAGTAGACTTTGAGCAGAGGAAGAAGTTTCAGCATTTAAAGAATTGGCTATCATATTTTTAAGTACTCCATAAACTTCTTTAATTTGAGTACTCAATGGTTTTATGGCATTGGATTTCGAAGACCACCTTGTATCCGAGTGTCCTTTTAATGAAACTTTTAATGTTTTCATCAGAGTAGTCCAACGACTTGTAGAGCGAGAAAAAAACTTAAAAATGCGAATAATTGAGAGCCGAGAGGCGCAGTCTAACAGAGTACGATATTTGAATAAGTGCAGAGTGATAGTGATAATTGCAGAAATGCAGACAGCTGACTGATGGCCAGTATAAATATAATAAATGTGTTCGTGTATAGCGTGTTTTGACTGACGAGTACGGAGTAATGGGACTATGGTCTATGGGAGCCGCGGTTGTCGGCTGAGGCCACGATTTAAGATAGTATGGTTGCCCAACGAGCTATGATAAGACGGCATACGACTTAAATTTTGATGCCGGTGCTMGCGCTTTTGGTGGACTATTTTAAAATTGTCATTACTGTTTAATGTATTTATGACATACTATATGGCATGGAATCATCAATAATTGTCGAAGGTTTTTTACAAAGTGAGAAAATGTATGGTATCAGATATAATAAGTTCATCGCAGATGGTGATAGCAGTGTATATAAAAAAATTCTAGAGRCAAGACCGTATAAAAATTTAACTGTGAGAAAAGTGGAATGTAGGAATCATCTTTTATGAAATCTCTGTAATAAATTAAAAGATATGACCATAAAACCACAATCGGGTAAGCTTGAACATCGCAAAATATTGAGTGGTAATATACTTAGGATTCGTCGCGGTATCGTATCAGCTAGCATGTATCGTAAGACAAATGGGCATTCTGTAACCGAGCTTAGACAAGATATAATGAATACCTAGTATTGATCATGTTTTCGGCCATCATCAAGAGTGTGCTTCATATTTTTGTATCAAAAATAAAACAGACGTTTCAGCTGACTACGTGGAAAAAATTAAATCTACGGATCAAGAATTTTATGCTAATATAATGAAACATATTAGAAACTTGGCAAGACACAGTGATAGCTTATTACAAGATGTGGACAGCAATATAGTAGAATCATATAATGCTATAATTSCAAAAGTAATCGGTGGAAAACGTATAAACTTTGCGATGAATCGTTCTTATTCTGGAAGATGCATGCTAGCAGCTGTAACCAAAAACACATGTCGCCCGCTTTATTCGCTGCATAAAGTGTTACACCATAAAAGTCCATTAAAACGAGGATTTTTAAGTGCTGTGGAGTTAAAAAGAAAAAGAAAWCAAAATCTTCAAAATATTGCTAGGATAAAAAATAAAAGATTTAAAAAACAACTTTTTAAAAATATTGACCTGATTTGTCGTATGGAGAAAATGCCATTAGACCCGATATAGATCAAATAGAATTTAATCGTCAAAAAGAAGAAGTTTTAAGTGAAATGAGAGAAGTAGCGTTAAAAAAAGACGATATTCAAAAAGAAACTATCGATCAATATGAAAATGTACAGTGGAATGAAGTACGAAGAAAACTTTTAACGGCTTCTAACTTTGGACGTATCATCTCTTGAAGACAAGATACTGGTTGTGAAAATATTGTCAAGAGTCTTTTATACAATACACAAATAATAGCACAGTCCTTAGATTATGGCCGTGAAAATGAAGTTGTTGCTAAAAAAGAGTTAGAAAACATTTTGAACAAGCCTATTCGTGACTGTGGAATTTTTATAGATGCAGAACATTTTTTTTTTAGGAGCTACTCCAGATGGCTTACTAGATAACGATGGACTGGTCGAAATAAAATGTCCATACTCTGCTTCCAATATGACTCCCGATGAAGGTATATTAAAAAAAAAAAAAATTGATTTTTGGTCTATAAATAAAGATGGGAGCATTGGAAGTTTTAAAAAAAAAACACAAGCACCATTATCAAGTTCGAGGACAAATGAGAATTGTACAAAAGAAATTTTGCGTATTTGCTGTATGGACTCCAAAAGGCATAAAAACTGAAACAATTCTTTTTRATAAAAAATTCTGGGAAGAACAAATGTTTCCAAAATTGCAAACATTTTTTTACGACTGTTTACTGCCTGAGATCGTAGACCCAAGGTATCCAGGAAGAACAATTAGAAATCCACAATATATTATTGATGCTCAAAAAAAAAAAAAACTAAGATCGATGTACATAAACCACAAAAACTATAAATATAATAATAATATGATTACAATATAATGAATATTTTATTCTTGTGTAATTTTAAAATTTTTATGTGTTGTAGTAACTACTTATTTTATATCATCATTATATTATTATTTACCTAATATAACATGGTAAAATATTACTTTGATTTCACTATTATTAATTTTGTTTCAYATAGGTACCAATGATTTGTCTATAGTCTGTTCGCGGAGAGACYAGAACTGCGTGGCGGACTAAAACTCGTCTATCCCTACCCAATACAACTCGTAATTGCTCCTGTCGCCAYTGTCAATCGTATACGCGAAACGGTCCATGGTCTTTTGGCGAACAGAGTGTATTATACTCTACAGCTCTTTTGTCTACTTGTCATTATACAAAAGATACCAATAGTCTATATTATGATGTTAGTTWATAATATAATAAAGACAACAATATATGAGACGTTTCCGAATGATAAATGCGTGATTTTATTTTAATTATTTACGCAGAAAGATGTGTTAAAAATTTTATAATATTATATTATTTTATTCCAAATAATAAACGGGACTTGTTCCAAGAAGATACCGCGCGATCGACGCCTAATATTACGGTTCGGTTGGGTGTGGAATGGTAAGTGGAATATTGTACTATACGGGTTACTACTACTAATAATCATTTACGACTAATACAACGGCAAGGCTGATTACCGAATGTATAAGAAGTTGCCTATACAATTTTCCTTTGAATCCAGTAGTATGGAGGTCCCTTAGCCATGGTCAACGCCACAGAACAATAGTCAACGCTCAACCATTCTATCTACCGTGGTGCCGTGGTGTTAGTATTCTTTTCTATGGTGGCAACTGATGCTGATGCATAGAAAAGTAAGTAGATAGAAAGCGAAAGAAATTAGAAAGAACGACGCGCCCCTGGTGGCAGAATAACCGGCTCATAGGAGTTTGGTCTCCTTATCTCTGATCTTCATGCATTCCTTCTTAAACCGTGGTGGCAATTGATGTCTAATACTCATACTGTAGATGTAGATAACATTCTAAAATGTTTAATACATATTGCCTAGTTTCCTACATTAATTAATATTCATTATTCATTATTTAGGTATTAAAAAATTACAATATTATTTTCATTATGCTTAAGCATCGTTTTTGAGTAACCTGGTATCAATATTTCAATCGTCATTCACGAACCAAAGTACAAGCTAACATCAAATCATCATTATATAATTTCATAGCTTAAAACAACCAAGTGTTAGTTAAATGCCTAATTAAATAACATTCGGACTACATTGCTATAATGGTCAATGATTTATTTGCGAAGTAGTAAGTAGGTGTGGCATAGGCAATTATCTTTTTTTTTACCTATTAATTTTGCAAAAAATACTTAATTAGTAAATTAATAACTTCCCATATTTATTTATTTTTTTTTGCAAAAAGTATAAAATAAAATGAGTCCTAAAATATTTGTTAACATCTTGACCTCTCCAAAGTCTTTGTAAGTATCATGAAAATTCAAAATATTTTTAATAATTTATTTTATTTTATAAAAGCATCTAACACTTAATTATAATAAAACTACTACATTATTAGTGAATAGTTATTAATCATACTTAAATAATTTTAGTAGTATTTTAAGTAAAATAATGTACTAATTACTGATTTATATAATATGATTACAATAATTATTATATGTTACCCAATATCAGTTGTACTAGTACATACAAGTGGGAATAAAACATTTCCATATTGTTTTTTTATGTCAAATAATAAAATATTTGCGTAAAAATAAATTGGCATATTATTCATGTTCTTGTGTTTATACCCATGTATACTGATAACCATAAATTTAAACAAATTTCCCTACCTAAATAGGACAGAGCTATTTGACTTAAAATTTACTTTTTTTTTATGCTTATTGCTAATTACCTCATTATAGTATAATTAGTAGATGACTATGAACAAATATGATTAATAAATTATAATTCAAATTATATTGATAATACACTAATTGAAGAATTATAACTAGATAGTAAAGTATTATTTATTAAATAAATAAATCAAAATATTGGAAACAATTATTATCTTAGGATTATTATTTAATGATGCACTTTTTATCACATTGCCATTAATCGGAAATAAGTATTTCCCGTTCCCCTCTATCAATTAAAGAACTTGATTTTTATCATTTAAATAGGTTGGGGAAATAATAAGAATATATAACTTCATAATAAATAATGTGTTTTTGAGATTATAAACTGAATTAACCAATTGGTTTAACTGTAAATGGTGGATAAATTTAACTTTAGAGGGCCACAATATCAAATATAAATATAAAGTTTTGTACAGACTAAGAAACATGTTTCTGATAATGTAACTTACACTCAATTATGTTATTGTTTATGAGGAATCAGAAACATCGTCAGAGACAAAATATGTATCAACTTATTAAAAATGAATACTAACAAGTTTATTAATTTATGTAAATAACATGATATGTCTATAAGGATTATATTAATTTTTAGATTTAAAAAACAAATAACACATGGATATGTTCAGCATATATACAGACGCTGGAAGAATGAATCACATCTGCCACCAAAAGACTTTAGTGATTTACAGACTATGCAAGACAGTAATTATTAGTATATTATTTGAAATACATAGTTAATTGTTGTTAGACTAAACTATACATCAATTTTGTTAAGTTAAACTAAAATTATCCAATATAATGGGTATATCTGGAAAATACGAAAATGAAGAAAGGGGATGGTTATCTGAGTATTTGCCAAAAGAACAAAATGAGCTACCCCCTCGTTCTATGAATGTAAGTTTATAAGTTATTAAAATGCRATAAATTAATAACAAATTAAACAATATCTGTTTTTAAAATATTTGTAGGACAGTTTTGATAGAGCTATAGTTCCTTTGAGCACTAATTTGACATTGCAAAATAAGTATACTACAACATTCAAAGGCTTGCGAATTGGGCGCCTTTTAGAAGATATGGATCTTTTTGCTGGTAAAAAGAAAAAAATAATTATAAAAAATAATTAATACTATTGATAATTTTAGTTTGGATTGTTATGAAGCACATTTATAATCCAATGCAACCATTGGATGTTCCAACACCTTACGTTGTTGTAACATTACTAGTAGATGATGTTGTCATAAATGCTAATCGATTTGTAAGTTAATATTTTTAATGCTTAAAATTTAAAAAAATAATAATAATCAAGATTTTTATTTTAGCCAGATAAAGATTTGATTATAAGCGGCCAAGTAACTCATGTTGGTAAAACTTCATTAGAGGTTACTTTGTGGCTTGAACAATTAAATGATGATAAATTTGAGCGTATTACTAGAGCTCATTTTGTGTTTGTTGCAAGAGATCCAACAAATACATCATCTGTCATGGTAAATAATTTAGTGCCAGTTGGAGAGCGTGAAAAAAATCTTATGATTCTTTCTGCAAGTAATTATAAAATTTAAAATGTTTAAATAAAAGTAAAAATCATGGTTTTTAGTCAAATATAGACAAAATTAATTAAATTAATTATTTAGAAAAAAATGAGGATAGAAAAATGGCTCGCCAAAACTCCATATTGAATAAAATGCCAACACCTGAAGAACAATCACTTATATATGACACATTCATGAAAACAGTCAATAAAAAAGAGCCAATAATTGGCAATAGAGTATTACCAGAAAATAGTGTGTGGATGGATGATACTATGCTTGAGACAAATATTCTTTGTCATCCTGAAGTATGTTATATTGTTATCACATTTAACAAGTAATATTAAATAGTTTCGCCGTAATTTATAACAATTTTTAATATTATTTTAGGATCGAAACTTACATAATACTGTTTTTGGTGGTTATTTGATGCGTGTTGCTACTGAACTTGCATTTTTAGTAGCAAGTGCACACAGCAAAACAAGAGTGACATTACAAGCAATTAATAGTATAACTTTTCGAAAACCAGTTCCAATTGGTAGCAAATTGAAGTTAAATGGACAGGTATAACTTTAATTGTTATTCTTAAACTATTTAAGTTAAAATAATCTCAAAATTTTTCTTATTATTTTATTAGATTTGTTATACCAGTGGTAGAGTAATGATAGTAGAAATTATTGCCAAAGTTGAAGAACTTGAAAGTAAAAAGAGTTTAACTTCAAACTCATTTTACCATGTCTACGTTGCTCCGAATGATGTTGATTCAGTATTGCCACAGAACTATCATGGTAAAAATAATACATTTTGTGATTCGTTAAACTAATAAAATTAACTTATTTTTTAGATTCTATGCTCTATATTGATGGGCGTAGACGGTACTTGGATTTTATCAACCACTTAGAAAAAGGGCAACCAGAGAACTAATCTGATTATGGGAATATAACATATAATATTAAGGAGTTCAATAACACATTCTAATAAACTAATTTTCTAACTTTTGAGTTTCAAGATAAAATTTCAAATCTAAATGAGTGTTAGCAAACAGTCTTTGTTCAATACTGCATTAAGTTTTAATAATAAAAAAAAAAACAGTTTTTTTCATATAAATAATTACCTCTTTAATTTTAAATACTTGACATTTTTATTTGTTACATTTATTAGTTTATAATTTGTTAACTAATAGTATTATTTTGTGACTATTTACTTATAACTTTTTTTACTAATATATCATTCCTACTATTAGAAATATTTGTTTGTAATATTAAACTAATAATAGTCATGCTGAATTCATAACATTACCTTTAGCTCTCAATTTATACCACAGAATCATTAAAAAAAAAGACGATTTTTATGATGTAACAACTCTATACGTTAGATCTCTATTTTAAACTAGAGAGTTTATACATACATAAAAAATATTATACAGTCAATAACCAACTGTTTGAATGAAAATGACCTATTATATTACCAAAGGTATGTTGTATCCAAATATGCCCTAATATTAGAAAAATTAATATCTTACATGACACAAATAACATGCAGTCGGTTCAAGTATGTTATTCAATATATAAATGATAAAAGCTTATGCTGTGAATCYGGCATCTTAAATTTAAATTTAAGTTCACTAATTATAATTATTAAACTATTAATAATTATCATCATCACTAGATGATATATCTGAATAATGGTTTAATTGATCTAACCACCATTCGTGTATTTCCTTCACTGCATTTATAACTTTAGGGGTATTTGATCTTTGTTCCCTTGAAGAAGTCGATACATTTAGATTTGACATATTCAATGGTTTTAAGTTCCTATATGAAGCTTTACGATTTTTTTCTTTATCTGAAGGATCTGATAATGTTGGTGTCAAAAATTTGCGTCCAGATCCACTGCCAACACTATCTGAACGTGAAATTCCTGAAGTTGATTTGAGCTTTGAACGATTTGTATCAGACTAAAATCAAGAAATAATTAAATATCCTGTTTAAAATCTTCTGTAATAACATACTTTAAAGTCTTTTTCATCATTTTCTTTTTCATTGTTGGCARCTTGCTTTTCTTCAAAATCCCTAAGCATCATTTCATTTGTCGCACGTAGGCCAGCTAATAGACTACCTTGTTGCCTCTGTAAAAATGTAAATCTTAATAATCATAACATTAGAGATAATACATTTAAATTTACATTAGCTGCTCTCATTTTTCGTAAACATCCTTCAAGCCAATTACGTATGGTTTGTTTAGCAACTTCTTCTTGAATATTGACTTCAAAATCTTCACGTGCAACTAACTCTTCAAGTTGTAAAGCTTTTGTTATATCAACTGTGCGATATGATAACATACTATGTACGAAAATATAAATTATAAATAAACGTTGAATGCTATTTAAAGAATTTTTTAATTACTTTAAAACATCATGAAATGTTACTTCTTGCCCATTGTGAAGTCTTTCTAATTCATAGCACATGTGTTTCAATAACATTTTTCCTTTTTGAGGATCGGTTTCTAATCTACCTTTCAATAGGCGCAACAAAAATTTCACCTATGAGAATTTTAAGTATATTGTGATTCAAATTAAAAACATTAGCAAGCAGTTGCCAGTCTCAGAAATAATTTAGTTTCAATAAGAACATTATCAAATAATTTAAATAAATCATTATATAAAAGCAAATATCTGTGGAAAAACATTGTTTATTTTTATATTTTATTTTCAGTTAGCCGGATGTATTTTACATAAGTAACAAATGTAATGCGAGTTGTCTAAAAATGTATAGAAGTAATCATTATTTTTTATTAAACTCACTTTGTATACTTGAATGACTCCAGCTTGTGTATCATCAACAATGTTCCATGAATGTTGGAAATTCCTAATATCTGCATATGAAAGCAAAGCATCTTCTTCATTGGAATAAAATAGGGAGAAATTTTCCATTATAATTGCTGCAAGAGAAAAAAAAAATTTTAATTTATACTTATCACTTGGATTGTCTTAATAAAAATTAAATAGTAAATAAATTACCAACTAATAAGTTAAGTACAATGTATGTGATCATTACGTAAAACGAACAGAAATAAATTAAAGCAGCTGCATAGTTTCCACAGTCTGTTTGCCAATAATTATCTGCGGGTGTACATTGTGGTGGTAATATCATACAGTCATGCATGATTTTGTTCCAATCTTCCCCAGTAACGATGCGAAATAGCATAGCTACTCCAGTAACTGGTGAACCAAAATTTGCAAGCCTATAAAAATAAAAATAAATAAATAAAATGTAAAAATAAAAATACTTTAATAGAATATTAATTACCTGCCAATTCCTTCACCATACTTTACAGTACCAAATAAAATAGTTCCAGCCAAGGCATATGAAAACACCAATAGAAACATACCAAATATAATGAAAAAACTTTTACATACAGAAACGCCTACAGTCAACATGAGCATTTTAAGTGTTGCATGTTTGCCTGTGATAGTAAAAAACCGTAATACAACTACTATATAGCCAAATGAGAAAGATAATTCGTTCTGAAATTAAATACTGAATTAAAATAAATACCATTTAAAAATGAAAAAAATATAAGTTCATTCAAATATTTACATGGAATACAAAATGCGTAATTATCCAAATCACTCCTAGAACAGTTACTAAAAGATCATATCGATTCCGACGTGACTGCCAATAACCACGAGCAGTGAATGCAATCATTTTCATAATTACTTCAGCTACAAATATTAAAGTCAGAAATGCGCTAACCAATGATAAAGGTTCAGTATGTTGATCTACAGCTCGCCACTATAACAATAGTTCATTAATATATTGTACAATATCAATATCAAAATAATTAATTACCGAAACACACAACAAACAACTGTTGATTAACACAATTACTGCAAAAAACCTCTTAAAATGAATTTTTTGGGTAATATCATATATAAAAGCTCGGAATTTTCTACGATCTGGTCTAGGAGGTAAATGTAGAGGTTGAGCAATTTTCAGTCTTTTCTTCAAGTCACACCTGCAATTTATCAATTTAAAAATAACCTTTCAGTAAGTAAAGTCTTTTATAAATTACCATCGTCTTTGATCTACAGTAAGTAATGCAGTTCCTTTATTTTCAGAATAATTAGCAATAACAACACCAACAAATAAAGTGAGTCCAATCATACATCCCAAGAATATGAATATATGAATGTATATTGCATGAATCTAATAAAACAAAAATAATTAATTTTATAATATTGTAATATAAATTTGTAATCATAATAACATCATGCTTTCACACTAAATTAAAAATACAGATTTAAATCTGTTTTTGAGCATAAAATAAATAATCATAAAAAAAAAAAAATGAAGCTATAAAGCGCATATGAGAATCAAATAAAATCCAACAATAGAAATTTTCAATTCAAAAATTTAACAAATCTAGGTTCCTTTAGACTGTCATAGTAGTCAATATTAGAAAAATAATTGTTCATAGCTGTAACATTAAAAGCTAATTGTCTTATTAGACACTAAAAATAAAAAAAATTAAGGCTAAAAAAATATATCAGTAATTCCAGCCATGCTTTGTTTCTATTTTAGGGCTAACCCCCTAAACTTTTTTTAAATGACAAGTTTCAAAGATGCATGCCCAATGATGGCAAACAAATTAAACATTACTGGTCCCAAAGCGCTGATCAGTATATCACGAACATCCAGCCAGCCTTTGAATGATAACACTTCAAACAGCGTCAGCATTGCATAGCCTATATTATCGAAATTGAACCTCCTTGGGTTCGCCCTTCATTATGAAYACATAGTTCCTCAATTTTTTTTTTCTTAGAATTTTATTAAAATGTACCCATGGGTACATATGGTTAAAATTGTCATATTTACCAAACTCTTGGCACCAAAATGGCAGGATAAGTTTCATTTGGTCCTGGTTGCATTTTCATTTTTGTTACATAAATTTGACGCATAAAAACTCCAGTACAAAGGACACGGTCTTTAATAGTTGGATCATTACATCGAGCTAAACGACCGCCAAAAATTTGAACTCCATAACTAGCAAATACAAACATCAGCACAATCAATAGAACAGATACCTAAAAATAAATATATATATATATATATATATATACATATTTAATTCAACATGACTTGAATAATTATAAATATAATTTTTATTAACCAATAAAATTTCCTTAAATCCACGACAAAGTTCATCAACTACTTTTCTCATGTGTGGGACTAGTGAGAAAATACGTAGTGGGCGTACACATCGGCATATCATTAGTAAATGAGCAGATGAATTTGTAGCTACATTGGTTGGCATCCAACATAAAAATACTAAACTGGTCTAAATAAAACAAATTAAATATGATAGCAAAATTTAAAATGTTAAAAATTTAAAATGTATAATTTACCACATAAACAAATATATCTAATATAGCAGCAACATCTTTCATATATGCTTTAGGTGTAAAAAAAACTCCATCAGCTAAAATTTTTAATGCTAATTCCATACTCATGAAGCAAACAAATACATATTCAGCTATTTGTAAAGCCGGAGTTTCCATCACACGATACAAAGGTGTTTCAAACATCATTGATATACAACTTAATGTGGTCACCAATATCATTAACCAATCCAAGTATGTAACTAGTCCCAAAAAGTTACTGTAAATAATTAAAATGTAATTATCAAATTATTTTATAAAATGATTATTTTATGTGTTTAAGCTTAACCAACACAGTAAACRACTAAATTATTAGTATTTGTATAATAATTATTATAATGGGTATAATTATATAATTATATTATCATTATTTTTTTTTTTTAAAGAAAAGTTGCACACGTAATATAAAATATTTAAAAACTATGCATAGAGAAACTCAAGTATTAAATGGATGATTAATGATAAATCACTTAATTATATCTATTTGATTGATCAAAATGTAGTTTTAAAAATACTATAAAAATAATTTAGGGTGTAACAAAAATGAGGGTAAGCTATGGATACAATTTTAAACTTACTGAAACCCTTTATATTTAACCTGACGCTCTTCTCCTGTGAGTGGATCTCTTAGTTTCAAATCATACCGAGCATATACAATTAATTGACATAATTTACGGAATTTCGATTCC